GCCCCGCCTCTGTCACACCCCCGCTTCGACTTCCCGCGCCGCGCCACGCTCCGCCGCTCCGCTGTGCTCCGGCGCGCTCTCCCCGAGGTCTCCTGTTCACGCGGGACGCGCATGCAAACCTTAAAGCAGTCGCCCGCAGTCGCCTACAAAACTGTTGGGGGGCTTTGCGCGCTGGCCGGAGAGAGGGCGATGCACAGGATGGGCCTGTTACACGCGGCGGGCGGCTCTGAGCGGAAATGAGATTGTAAAAAGAAAAGGATGGGGTAAGAGTTTTTGATTTTCGAAGATCTTAAGCTTAAATTAAAATGTAGAAAACCTAAATTCAAAAGACAAACCTGTCAATAATATTATATGCTTACACTTTGCCAGTAGTAAACAATATCTTATTGGAGATTCCACACTTCTCCCCACTTTCTCGAAAAGATTCATGAAGATAAATCTACAATTGGAATAATAACTAACAAAATTGCTTATCATGTAAAATAACTATATTAAGATCTTTATTTAAAGCGCTAAATAAACAAAATCTTTTAGTTTAAGATATTGTAATCAGAATACATTATACCAATGTTTTACATTTATTAGGAAATCGTATGAGGAACAACGGGACTCAAAGTGCCCCTTACGTAACTGACCATGGTTACGATGAATTCCAACATCCAGTTCGAAATATGAAAAATTGTATATGAATGTAGTATATGATACTACATTCCTGATTGTGAAAATTGCAACACCAAGATGGCGACATACTATTCCAATGAAATTTATTCCACAGATTAGGAATATCACAATATACAAATGTTTAGAATTACAGACAAACTTTTCACTTTGAGCATTTTCATTTGAGTATTTTGTACGAGTAGAAGCCTCCACGCGCTGTCATCAGGGCTTCTATGGATTACCTTAACGCAAAGCGACTACAAGAAGACCAGAACAAATAAGTTGCCACACGATCATATCCCAGACAAGTTTGATGGGCGATATGTCAGGCGAACGTGCAGGCCAAGGAAGCAGAGGTACCCGTCATTCTTCGTAGAAAGCTTGCACATTCATCGCCACATACGGTGGGCATTGTCGTACGCTTAGTGAAATATCGCATGTGAAGCTGCTTGCAGGGGGGGGGGCAGTACCTCAAGCTCTAAAACCACCTGATGTTGCAGTTGCTGTTCAGATTGCCCTCAATACGTATGAGACGAGATCGTACATTGTAGCCAATGACGCCCCATACCATTACACGTAGGGACGTCCCCGCTATGGCGCGGAACAATGCAGGTTGGCAGATTGCGGTCACCATGGTAGCGTTGAATACGTAGGCGGCCATCGCTGTAACACAAATTGAAGCGGGACTCGCCCCCAAAAACTCTACATTTTGCCACTCAGCACACCAGCAAACACCAGTTCACGAGCAAATTCTGTTTAAGGCTTCGGTGGTTTCTGACCAACGGAATCCGACGCAGTGGTATGCATGCTACCAGATCAGCCGTCAACAAATGGCGTCACTTCATGTACGCATACGTGACCACCTTCGTTGCAGTGCTTACGGCCATGCGGACAAGATGGCGGTCATCTTGCGCTGTAGTCATCTTGTGTGATCCAGTACACGCTCGTCGCTATTCACTGGATCCACACCCGAATCACTGTCGTAGCAGCGCGCCCTGTTCGAGCCGCAATGTCACTGTACGACGAACCCGCTTCCTGGAGACCGATCATTCTACCTCGTTCGAACTCACTAAGAGAAGAATAGTGCGTCTTTTGGCGTCGACGAGTCATACTAGCACCTTCTTACACGTTTTCACGTTGTTTGACGTCTCTATTCCGACCGAGTGTGGCGAAACACCGACCTCACCAGTCATACAAAGGAGGGCGCTGATACGCCAATATTCACGCCATCTCTATGCATATTTAATCACTATTAATATTTAATCGTATGGATAACAGTTCTACACATCCACCGAGTTTGAAGCGATTCCGACAATTCCTTCTAGATGCTGCAATTTTCACAAAGATCAGTGTCGTATCCTTCATTTCAGTGTTAATGTTTTCCTCTCGTCTAAAACGCTTTAAAGTACTTCACAAATCATCTCAATACATTGTTTGTGGAGATTTTTTTAGAAATAATTGGGTTAACTAATGACTACACGTCCTGCATAATTTGGCACCGATTTCGATTGATTACATTGCAAAATGCGGTGATTTGCGGGAATTCACGGATCGGTACTTTGTGTAGTCGTAAGGAGTAAAGAGCAGACGTGGCTTCGCGTATGCACAGCACGCAGAGGCAGTTGGAGCGCCAACAAGAGTCGTGACCGGCGCTCCCGCAATATATTTCTAAGGCGCAGTGACAGCTGCGGTGCCTGCGGTCATGGAACGACGAAGCATGAAATTCTGAATGCTCTTTGCTAATCGTCTCCATTCTAGGCAGATTAATATAAAGCTCATATCAAAAATACAAACGCACTGAGTAATTACATAGAATACAATGAACATAATCGACTCAAAGCAAAAAGAAATCTCCATGTTTTACTTTCATCTTCTTGTTCCGGGATCTCTTATTGAGTAATAATGAATGAAAATTAGATATCATCAATCGTTGTTTCAGGAGAAGAGACACATCTAAACAATCATTGTATTGTAGTTAAAGTCAAAAACAATTTTAGAAATAATTTATTTTAAATATTAAAAATGTCATAAAGATACTTGTAGTTCACAAGAGATCAAAGCTTCAGCAGAAGCAAGCAGAAGCAAGAAGCAATTCCACCCTGAGCATGGTGATTTAACTCGGGTCAGTTGTGTGGTCCTATGGATTGACTGATTGGTGGTTTCGAGTTTCCGGGCGCGTCAACTGCTATGGTCATTAGACCGGTATGTATTGTGCATATTCTTCCCGGGAGATCGAGGTGTTCTTATCCCTCTGGACGGCGAGATCCGGCGCCGACCTATATATCAGCTTGCGGGAGTCTCCCTGGCCAGGTATCTCTCACTAGAGAGGAACTTCCTCAGCTGTGACAATCTGTAAGCTCGACTGGTCTCCCGTCATGAGTGGTAGTGTAGTGCATGTACGTGTAAGAGTGTGTAAGTAAGTGGTGAGAAAAGGACGATGAAGAGGAATGAAAATTTGCGCTACCAAGAACTGTTTTGGTCTATGGCACATGGTTTTGGTGCATGACTCGTGCACACTTCAATGGTTATTTAGGCCTTTAATGGGAGAAAGCTCTAAAAATCATCCTAGTTCACTTTTAGGGGATAATTTTAACTCCTGAAAATAAAATACACCACTTTCATATTTTATATTTGAATAATTTGCAGTGATTTTCTAGTACATAGTTCAGGTATTTGTAATGGGTTTTTAACGAATTTTCCAGCGATAGAGCAATTGTTGATATCCTAATTCTGGTTCCACTAATAAATAAATGCGTAAATGTTTGTTCCTGTTAATCTTCATAAACATCGAATCATATGTAAACAATAAACCTAAAGCCCCTTAGATTACGGACAGTAATCTTGACTATTACCATTTAGAACGTAGTTATTAGAATAAACTTATTTTTAACCGTTTTAGGACAGTCAGTACACATGGTAACGTTCAATTTAAAATACTTTTATCTAAGAATTTATCTATACACGGATATTAAGACACACATTCCATATTTCTTGCTAAACAGTGCCCACTCGGACATCAATATGTCGTAATTTTTACTTGCATGGACAATACTCAATTATGATTGTTTTAACCATAAATAGAACAAACCCCCACACTGATTCTGTTCAGAACAAGCGTTATCCTAACAGATGCACAACGTTGGGCGAGCTCAAATACACAGAAAGGAGACGCATGAGGCACCGGGGGCTCACAACTCGCCAACGCGAAACAGCGCAACAAACTCGAGAAAGAGTTCGCGAAAACAATGGAGTGGTGGCGGCCGACCGGCAGAGCGAGGGCAGGCGCGAAGCCAAGTATCGCCAGGGTCCTTCTCGCCTCCTCCGCCGGCGCCCGCCCGCGGCCAGCCCGGAGGGAAGCACCTCAGGCCACGAGTTTCCACTCCGATTAACCCTCGTCCTGCCACACCTCCCATGTGGTCCCACACACGGCCGCTGCTGGCTAGAGACGGGATAAAAAGCTATTCCTTAATTACTGAACAACTATTCGATCATCTTCAATGAAAAGGATCCTTCTACAGACGGACGGACGGACAGACATACATACAGACAGACATACATACAGACAGACATACATACAGACAGACATACATACAGACAGACATACATACAGACGGACAGACGGACAGACAGACAGACGGACAGACAGACAGACGGACAGACAGACGGACAGACGAACAACATATGTATTCAGGAAAATAATTTAGTAAAGATAGAAGAAGGAAAAATCACATTTTCGGGATCCGAGTCGAACAAACGTATTTTTCTGTCGGAAATGTGAACTTTTCCTTGCAGCATTACATAACTTTTATAGTTAATATTTAATGTAGTAGGTGCAGGAAAGTGTATACGGAACTCCTGTTTACCCAGCAGTGGGGTATGAGAATGAAATAAGATATGTTTCATTCTTTACTTGTAAATCAAATTTCAAGATTCAATATATAATTTACATTGTATACTATTACATATTTTAAACAGTTTTTGTTACAAATATCTATAACGTTCGCTTCATACATGAGAAACCATCCCTATTTTTACCGCAGTATCAAAGCCACTTTAGGTTATATCCTTTGTGCCTGTCACCGGCAAGGACGAGTTGAACAATCGACTGTTTGTGTCATCAAAACTTACTCAATTTTCCCGTGTTTCATTCCAAAAATGCGATGCAATCTCATGGATGCAATGTGTTTTCACCCGACATTCGGCAACGTTTGCAAGCTCATATTTCTACCACGTTGTTCCTGGATAAATATTATTTTTCAGGCTCTTTCATGTTTTCTATTTTCGGTTTCTTTCCTGTCGCATGTCGGGTACACTTCAGCGTAGACGCAGTCGCGGCCTTTGAAGTATTTCACCCACGTAATGAAATGCAATGCTACTGAGTTGATTGTGAGGCCGGGGGAATAAAGGCTTCCCCGAACGAGCAATCCGCACTCCGAGAGGGGCCCTCAGCGTCCTCGACGACCTTTTTCTATGGGCTATGCATGGCGGATCAAAGGCCTCGCATATTCCGGTCTCCTTCATGACCCAAAGACAATTGCGTCATCATTCTTTTAATTAATATGGCTAGTACACATGGATATTATACATTTAGTGCATCACAATTGAGTGAAATAATTTAACGAACGAGTAACACTGCCCACGACAGAAATCAATATCCGAAGAAACTTCAGGCTGTGATAGCTCGGTGACATTGATGTTGGCGCATCTCTTCGGAATCGCTGGCTGGGAAGTCCTAGGCTTAGATTCCTGACGGTGGCGGATTTGCGGCATAAGCTACGAATCTGAAACCAATTCAACCACTAAGTGGAGGAGAATGATCGATCGTTTTCCGTCGTTTCTCCACTCAATGCCAGGCGAATGCTGGTGAAATCCCCTATTAAACAGGCCACAGATCGCGCGCGTTCTGACTTTCCTCGTCCTCGTTCCCTCCTCTCCCTCTGTATGCACATTTACATGCACTACGCTTTCAGCAATTCACGAGCTTAGAGCTTTCTCGGAGTAGGAGGGTCGCCCCTCTGGGGAAGATACGGGAGAGGAATCCCGCAAGCCAATGTAGATTGATGCTAGATCCTGTTCCAGCGGGGTAGGAACGCCGCCACCTTTCTGGAGATAACATGCACTACACCGAACGGACTAATTACCTAAGTAGCGCTCGCGCCCGGGATCAACACCCAACCCCACGGAAATTCACATTTAGAATAATGAATCTACATTTATATTCGAAAGTTTCAGGAATATAGCATCTTCACATTGTGCACTTTTATAGTGCTCTCTCAATCAAGATCCAGTCGTGTCAGGTCTTCTATAATGATTATTATGTTCTTCTAGAGCTCAAATGTCACTGGGCTACGGTTCTGTTTATTACAACTAATGTTAGCACTAACTTCATTGTTTTTATTACAAAATAGGTCTTGGAAACTTACACAATAGACAAGCAAACAAGCAAGCCTACAAAACGGACAACAAAATAGCAACACGGGTAGTATTCATCCTGTGTGGCGATTTTTAATCAGATAACCTCATATTGTGTCGAAAAAAGGGATAAATATGATTCGAAATGTAGAAAATTACTTCTTCCAACACGTTGTGTAGGTAGAATTCACACATTTACTGGGGTCCTTGATACCAGAACACTGGTTTATGGTAAAACATTATGTCTGCCAGTCCGTCGATCTGTCCATTTCAATGGAGGTTCATTGTGCAAAAGTGGGAGTACATAATTTAAAAAACCATAAAATTCTCTACGAATTTGCTTTACAAATCATTTTCATCAAATCGTAGAAAAGCTACGAGGTTTTAAAATTTCACTAAATTTTCCCTTTAATCCTAATTTCCCTCCAATTACCAATGTGAACTTAAATGTGGTATTTTTGGGTTTCTAAGGACATTATTAATAAAAAGCGAATGAACACTATTTTTTTCTGCATCTTCGTCGACGGAAGGTGTCTTTACGCCTTTGATGAGCATTGACCGCCCAGAATAATCCTTCTTTCAGTATTTAGTCCGGAAAATAAGCTTTAATTTTTTAATTCATACTTAGAATTCACAACATGTTTTGTCGGAGCGAGGGTGGCGTAAAAGTAGGCGGAGAACATTTTCCATATTTCCTGACAGGGACGTTGCGTTGAAGTCCCAGTGCATAATCCACGCTTTGGGATATTGCGCGATCGGATCTTGGGGACTCGAGAGATCATCGTTAGGGAGACCGAAGCACCACGACCTCACAGATAATAAATCACACATACTCTGGCGTGTTTAATTTCATTAAATTAGCTGAACTGTTCTTTTGTATTTGTGAATCTCTCTGACGATAATAGTGATTTTGTCTTGTGATACTATATCCCTTTGAAATGTTTTAATTGACAAGTCCCTGTAGCACAGTGCAGCATTGCCGTACGACAAATACATAAAATGGAATGCGTGAGTAGTTATTTTATTTTTGCATCTCATTAAGTAAATTATCAACTTCGTTGTGGGTTTTTGTCTCTTCACAAGTGATGCTCGCTTGCCACTCGCTTGAACTACACTACAACACATGTCGAGAGCTTGAAGCTTATCGCTTCTGGGGCGGTGCCTCGCTGGCTTTAAATACCTGAATGGGGGAAACCCCGCAAGCCGACATAAACGTCGGCGTCGGATTTTGTACTCTAGCAAAGGAAGAATACATCTCCTGTCAAAACATGCACATTTACACTAATAACGATGCGGGAACACATGCGACATGACCGGCTTCAACATATCCCGAAGTCGGTCGTGGTCCAACACGCCGCGGAAACAGGTCACCTCGTTTATTACCATGACACCCACACTATATCCACAGGAAACAGGTGGTGGCCTCGTTATCCTCTTCCCTTTTATCTTCACGTCCCTCCCCACACTTTACTTGGTCTCCCACAATCGCTCTTATCCCTCTCCACCAACGCAATAAATCGCAATAAATCAAATCGACAGCTAGTTCAAGAAAAATGTTTATCTAAAACGTTGAAGTTCTAAATGGTCAAAAAGTAGGAAGCATTTCTTAACCCGCAATACAACAGTATAGTTCCTAAAATGACGTGTCCTCTAATGTAGTATGTTATTTACAGAGAAATTTACAAATATCATCAATTTGAGAAATACTACAAAAGAACATTAAATAAAGTCAGTTTAGCTGACCTGGATAGCCAAGGTCGCTTAGACTGAAGAGCCGTATCTACCTCATACCGGAAATGTCGCGGGTTCGAATCCCGCCCGGAGCATGGCTGTTTCCGAATGCCCGTATACCGTTACCGTTACCTCCAATGTTACTTGCAGTGGTCGCTATGTGACCTCACTAGTTGAAAATCAATCTTATATAAGGTTATAATATATAATATTATACATAAGTTTTAAAAAAATGGTTCGAATTATTTAGTCAAAGAAAAGTAGAAACTGTGTGTGACGTATGGGGTTGAATTAGTTATTATTCGCGCAACAAAAATAACAACTATGAGTTATAACTAATTATAAATTATATTAACTAATTATAAATTTCTATGTAAACAATAATTATTTTTGTTGGACAGTTATTACAGTTCACTGTTAGTTTCTTCGTTCTCCTAAATTAAATCCGCAGTAATGTATTAAAAGGCACAAAATTTTCGCGTAAACAATGAATACAGTGTATGTATTCTTTTAGAGACATTATGCGCATTGTTGTTTGCTAGTTACATTCATTATTCATTCAATTAATATTACTAGATTAGGTATGCGTAACGTTTTGTTTAAGAAATGACATTTTTTCATGATTTATCCCATTATCCTAATAAATGACTTTCCGCATTGTGTTCTTCCCAATTACTTCGAATAATTCGAGCTCTACTGTACATTTTTCCTCAATTATTTTTAAATATATACGATTATACAAGTTTATTACGCCATAAAAAGTCAATTTTTGCAGTTTTGATTGAAATCCTTCAATTATCCATGCTTCACACCTTCACTTTTTTCCCTCTGAAATCGAGCAAATGAAGCATCTCTGTACTTTAGTACTATGTTCAGTGAAATCTGTGACAGGCCATCCTGTCACATGCAGAGACTGTGACCCATTTTATGTCACGTCAAACAACCTGCTCTCTGTCGAATGGGATATAATTTAAAACGTCGACGTGGAAAAGGCTATGGAGGAAGGGAGCGACGTCGCATTTCTCGATGCAGATCTGCAAATATTTAGAGAGGGATGTTTGTTAATGATTCATCGATCGCTTTCCGTGCACTGCAGTCTAATTGATTGAAAACAATAAGGCCTTGAATCGAGATGCATTATTCGGATTCATTCCCCTATAGCATGTGTGACCAGAATATCTTCTGGAAACTGATGGCTTTGCGACCTTGTGGCTTAGTCGCGAGAAAACACAAACTCAGTTAGAGCGCAAGCAAATGTATTTCGGCCCAAAGAAAAATAACGGACTAGAATGTTGCTCAACATCGCGTTTTGCTGCATGTGTTGATGTGCATTCGTAGTACACTATTACCAGTCTATACTTTTCTGTGTCCGTATAAATCTATTTAATATGGTAAGTTCAATTCAAGGAACAATAAGAAGCGACCCAATGTAATATTACATGGATGAATAGAAAACAGAAAAAAGCACATTCACCGAGAAAAGAAATGAGCTCCCTAATGTGTTATATCGGAGCTCATTACTCATGGATGGATATTAACGTCAATTGTACAATTTGAGCAATTTTTTGCAAGAAATGTAGAAATCAATAAACAATGCGGAGTTCCACTATGATCAGTGTGACCATTGTCGCTAACGCAATAATATGTTGCAGTTTATGTAGTGGTACGTTACCTGCCAGTGCCCCCCCTACTTTCCCGCGACGCATGCCACTCTCCGCGGTAGTCATCTGTACGCTAACACGACTAAAAACGGACAAGGACTTACGGGTAATGTGTGTGACGCGCTTGTTGCAAAGTTGTAAGACTTGGGGGAAAATTTGCAGTTTGTACGAATAAAATGGGGGAAATGCTTAGGAAAAGTTGGAAATTTTAGAAGTCTCGTGTTCTTAAATATTTATTTTTTTGATTTTCGTACGTTCCGAATGAATATGATTACTTGACGAGTGATATAATGATGATACTTTCAATTAATTCGGAAGAAACATGTAAGCCGAAACATTTTCATCGCTCCATTATACACAACATACATTACCTTTTTTATATACCAGCATTATAAACGACCATTTTCATAGCAAGAAATCGTTCAAAAATGCCAACTTGTGGCGCAGATTATGACGTAATGCCGTCTATTGCACGAACAATTGCGTCATCACACATTCAGCCAATCGCAGCGAGAGGATCCCGGGGATTAGCGGTAAACCGAACAGTCGACCACAGTTTCTTGGCATAGCGTCAAATACCGATGACGTCACAATGAATTTATTTCCAAAAATTAACTTTCTCTTATGAATTTACGAAAAAAAAAATTCAACTCGTGTAAGTAGCTTTATAGCATTCGTACAAATTTGAAAACTCGCTGCTAACGTCACTCGTTTCTGAAACATCTATTTATGCAATATTGCTTAAGATTATAAGATTGTTGCATAATATACTACTTGTTTAATATTAATTTACGGCACATATTTATAAGAGATGCAGATTTGAATGAACAAATCGCAAAAATGTGATTCAGTGGAAACGTATAATTACGATGAGAGTCGATCACAAGCACATGGTTGTTACAATTCCAATAAAAGGGGTCACGCATTCACTACACTGGAAGAATGTGCCAGCCGATGGCAACAATTTTCCTTGTTTCGTATTTATCACGTCACAAGAAATATCTAAAAGTTGTTACACAATACAACATACAAAGCCCAAGCCGCCATTACGGGTGTGTTCTACCGCGCGATGAGAAACGGCTGTGTTTGTTTTTAGGTAGTAACAGCTCCGGCAAGGATTGAAGCGTACAAGCTCGTATCTACCTCGTCATCCTCCCCTTGGAAGGGCATCCACGTGATTGTTACATTACCAAAAAAGGGGCACATTTCATTAGTGCTACTACACTTAAAGAAAGAGCCAGCCGATGGCAACAATTTTACTTGATACGAAATGACTATGTGACAAGAAATACCTAAGACATGCTACAATATCCTATATACAACACAAAATACAAGGCCAAAGCCGCCATGACGGATGGGGCGATGAGAAACGGTTGTGTTTGTTCTTTGGTAGTGACAACCCCGACAAGGATTGAAGCTTACAACCACGTAGCTTACCTCGTCATCCCGCCCCTCGGAAGGGCATCCACGTGGTTGGCAGCTGTGCGTCTCGACGTGTCCGTGTGTGCACGAAGTCGGCGGGCGCAGACACCCCGCCCGCGTCGGCCGTGGTCGCCTCGCGCGGCCCTACTGCCCTTCGGAGCGCGTTCGCGGTCGCGGCGGCGTGGCGCCTGCGCGATCGAAAGGGCCCCGCGGTGCGACGGGGCGGGCGGCGGGCCGGCCGCGCAGGCGCGCCCGACAGCCGGCGGGCGACGGCGGCGAAGACGGTTCGTGTGGCAGTTCAGTCCGCGCGCGCGCCACGGGTCAGCAGCAGCTGCGAGCCGTGTGGTCCCGCCGCCCTCCCGTGCTCCCGCCGAGAGGACTTGGTCTCTCAAGGACACTGGGTGCTCAAGGTAGGAAATCGCGCCGGGCCGGGAGCGCCTTGTTTTTCCCTCCCCTCCCGCCGCCGCTGTATTAGAAAAGCAAAGCACAGCGCGGCGGGTGCCAAAGACTAGAGTTAACAGGAGTTTGCTGGAAGTTTCAACTCGCGATTTCGGGACATGAGCTCGTTCCGCGCGCGTGAGCTGGTCTCCGCGTGCTTTCGCCTCAGCAGGCGGTGCTTTTTATGGAGGCACAGGGATCCATCTTACTTGTGGTGTCGGAAGTAACGTGGAGAGGTGTTAGCAGAGCTTTCTGGGGGGGGCGCGACAGAGACGAATGGCCTTGACGGCTGCCGGGCCACCTTCGCTCCCTGCGGGCTTCTTTGCAGCTCGCGCGACGGCGTGTGCCGGAGGACTGCTAGCTTACCTCGAACTTTCGCAGGTGAAATGTGTGCACACTGTCGCGTGCGGAAGGCGAGAGTCAAGTCCTCTTTTATGCTGCACTTAATAAGCAGTTAACGGTGAGGATAAGGAATGGGAGATCCGCGATACCGGAATTTGCCTGCTGTGACCCAACATGAAACAGCTTCATTCTTAGTGCCTCGAAAGCGTATTTCAAACATGGTAGGTATCTAATCTTTTGGCACCAGATGTAGGAAACTGTTACGATAGTTTAGTAAAAGTTAATAAATCGCGGTTTACCATGCTTGGATAATGCTTTGCGTGATAATTCAAGAGGAATAAGAAACTCATGGTAGAGACTTTGAGGATTTTGTATATATTGCCCTCTACAAAGGGACATGCCGTGCTGAAGGCGATTTTCTTATTAACGATCTTAGAATAATATTTTAAATTTTAATACATTTCTGGAAGGTTTGTAGTTCGAGAACAAGAAATACTTGTATATTTGACAAATTTATTTTTTACTACAATGAATTCATTTTCCCGATACAATAGGATATTTTCCGCATCACACTTTAGAAAGTTGCATTACGGTAGCGATTACTAAATATTTTTATCATGCTCTTTGTTTTTTAAGTAATATGTTGGGCCTCTACTGAGTCGTTATACTTCGTACTAATGAAACTGTTTTAAATTGCAGGTTAAACAGAAAGTCTTTTTGGGTGAAAATTATTTTTCAAATGTTCTTCCAACTCCCATGTTTACCGGCTGCAAATTGTCTTTTAAGCGTCATAATGGTTGTAACGAGGGAAGTAAAGAAAAATTTAAATATTACTTACTCAATGCAACGCTTTACATTACAATTTCAACATCGGATATCCTATGTTCCTGTTGTATAGACATATATACTATAATAAATTCATTAACTTTCCGTTTTTGACTTATATTCTTGAGGGCGTTTTCACAACCGGAAGTTCTGTTCATTTTATGTTTGTAGGCTGAGAAACAGATTTCATAACGCATTACCGATTCAAGGAAGAGTACATGCTGGAGTAGCTTCGAAGATTTTCTTCAAAAATTATTCTTTATTACTTGACTATCGATATTTAAATTTTATCACTACACTTGAATGCAATTTTGGAATTACCTAATATTTTCCATCTACTTTTTCTCGTTTTCTAAGAGAAATTTTATTTTTAAATATATGAACCATAAATCTTCGAATGTCACGAAGCATCGTATTTGAACATAGTTTTCTTGGACTCGTAAATACTTTCTTCTTTATTGCCAATACAAAACATCATTGAAATTATACACATTTATATCTTTTCATGTGAAATGTGGAGTAAATTATTAAATGGAAACTTTGTACTTCCCGATTTGGTGAATTCAGCATCCATCGGAACTTGATTTAAATGTTCCAATTGAAACACCATTAAAATTACAGGTGTTATTCAACAAATGCATTCTGCCGTGACATTGAAACTTTAGTCGGAAATTGTTTCGTCACGATTATGTATTATAATTTGATAAACTAAATCCTGTCGCTTCAATATTTTGAAATAAGCGTGAAAATAGAAGAAATGTGAGGAAGGACGATCGCATTCACTCGCAGATATATCTTTTTATGCTGTTCACCATGTTTAATTAGCATTGTAAGTTTAAAACAATGGATTTTCATCGCTATAAAATCTGTATTTTGTTGTATCGTTTGATTTTTCTATTTATTCGTACTGACTATTGCATTTTACGCTGTCTTTACTAAACGATTGAATTAGTGAAGTATTATATAATTCAACGGACAATGCTCAGCTACAGAAGATTTTATGACGTAATATATTACTTTCTGGTTATATTTCATTATTAGAAAACATTCTTACAAAATGTCAATTACAATACGCATTACGTTCAAGTACTAATAAAGTAGCCACAAAAACGGAAGTTTATGTTACAGATTAATTCTGGATGACAATTTTGACAGCCTTAGTTTCTTACTTGTTCGTCCTCCAAAATTCCTACCATTTATTAAAAAAACAATTATTTGTGACTCCTTTTTCTTAAAATAATATTTGTATGAGCACGATTAAATTAGTATTAATTGAAATTGAGTTTTCTCCCTTTTTTGTGGTAAACGGAATGTGCGTCAAATGAATTGCGTGTTCTCTTGGATTACGCATTTTGAAATCGTCTGTTTTAGTTCTCAAATTCACAGTACCTACAGTACTCAATTATTAAAGTTATTAGTGTAATCGTACTGCCTCTTACTATACGAATGTTTTGGTAACAAATTCCATGGTTATGCGATCTGAAACAGGAGGAAATCTAGAAAGACTTTTAGAAAAATTAATATCAACTCGTCTTTCTACAATTACTATTGTTAATATTATTTCATTGTTAGCATGAAAGAAAGTATGTTAATAATGGAAATGATTCTTTGAATAATGTGCAGTGTATGTATTGGTGTACAATTGTATTTAGTTGGCATGAATTTAGTGATTGTGAAAGTGAACATTGCTATTGTGGATGTTTCGTCCTCCATGCTTTCCTGCCATTGATATTATATGAATTTGGTATATATTCCTCGATTTCATAACACTATATATTAAAATTAAAACTTGAAATAATGATTTCTTGACGTAGCTATCTGATAATCGTAATAAATCTAATAAACGTATTGCACTCTGGATATCATGAGCATATCGCACCTCCATGATAAAAACCTTGCTTATATTATCGGAACATTTGTGGTGCCTATACTACAATTTGTGGAGGTAATATCTACCAGCAATATCAGAAGATTTTCAGTCCCAAATATTTACATGTAATTTCTGGCAAAAGGTACAAAGGCATGCGAATCAGCTTACTTCGTAATTTCCTAAAATGGTCAGAGCTATGAAAATATAAACATAAAACGACATTTTGACGCCTAATGTTAATACGACACGATTATTTGTATGCTGCGTTGACTGACGTCTTCATGACTTCTTAGAAAATCTCTCTCTCTCTCTCTCTCTCTCTCTCTCTCTCTCTCTCTCTCTCTCTATGTGTCCGTTGTATTCTTTAGAAACAAAAAATAAAGAAACACGTTTTTAAGTTGTTACAAATGCTAATGACGCCATGTCATGTAGCTGTCTACATCGCATTTTCAATGTCAGAATTCACTAATTGTCAGGCACTTTCTGTAGTAGTGTTCTATGGGACACTTACATTTTGTTGACAACATTGGGATGAAAAGCAGACGGAACCATCTAAATAGAACACATTATTTCTTAAATACATTTATTAAATTTTAAGAATTCCTTGTTTGGACAAATGGGTGTTTTGTGGTGAGTGATATGGTTTAGTGTAGTGATCTGTATTTCTGTACCAAATAAAGAGTTTAAAGTTCAGACCAGGAGTAGACTTTAGAAAGTTCTACAACCCAATTTTGATGGAATTCCGTTTCTAAAGAAATGTAGAGTGGGATCAATCTATATATTTTTTTCGGCTTAGACGAAGGTTTATGTGATTTGTAGTTGCAGTTCGCACGCATTGCGCGTTTTACTGCTATTTCTAAATGGCTGGTGTGGGTTCGCGTCGGACCTAAGTGAATAACCAAATCGGTTTTTGTGTTGCACTACGCCCTTGGAATATCTGAAGGGAGTGCTTGACTTCTTTGTCCTGTAGTGAGGACGTGTCGAAGTAATTGTTTTGGCGTTGCCGGAGCTTCGTCGGTTTGAAAGGCTTCGTTAAACGAAAACTGTCTCATTGCGTAAAGAATTCGGTATCAAATTCCTTCCTCACTACTTTCAACCGTTTCCGAAACGGAGGGCGTGCTATGAGCCGTAGAAGTTTGTTCTGCACTCAAGTGTACCATTGTACTTCTGTACTGCGGTCCAGCACATTGCCGCAGCCTGGGTGACCACAGGCCGGCAATACGTTTTATAGAGTGCCAAGCGAAGTTCCAGGGGGAGTGTAGGTATAAAAAGATATGACAGGCTTGAGCCTAATTTAAATACTTGTGGGTGCGAATCTCATCCATCATGAGTACTTCCACATTCAGATTGCGGTGTGCAACTGCCACATATCTCAATATATCTTCGAAACCATAATGTATTAATTCGTAATTCAAAGTGAAGTCTGAGATGCAGCTGTAACCGCTCGTAATATATACGGCAACTAGAGGACGACGATACAGAAAATGTTATCACAATAATGCGATTATGATGTAAAAGTATTTTTCTGTTTGAGGGTTTACTTTTATTTATAGGATACTATACGAATATATATACTATTAATTAAAAGTACTTGCTCTGAAATCTAAACATTTTCACCACATTTCTACTCTCTGAATTACTATATCCATTCGTAGTAAAGAGAAAGTATAGTAATGAGAAAGAATATAAAGTGGAGATATTTGTTAGAAACCTGCTGTGGGCCCTTGCAGATAAGTAGATACATTTTGTTCCTATATGTAGTTAATCTAATCCTCTTATCAATTATATCTGTGTAGTCAAAGCCACGCTGTGTGAGTCATTGATACCGACAATTGGTTTGCGGCAAGAGCCCGGTCCGTCGGTCAGTTATGTCGTCCGTCATTCAGCGCGCAAGTCTGTCATGCCGGCCCACCGTCAGTCAGGCCGTCCTCGTAA